CTTACCTGACAATCCTGGCTCCGCTATTGCCAACAACCGCCCCCCCCCCCCAAGGCATTCTGGGAGGTGCATCATTTCAACCGTGCGCATCGGCCAACCAACCGACACGCACGGTTGGCTACGTACGGTGCAAAAGAAGTTCAACACGATGCTCATTCACACAAGCAAAACTCTTCTGTGGTGGGGGGGTGGGGGGGAGTCCCACGTGTTGTGGGGTGTGGGGGGGGGTCCACGTGGGGGGTCCCCACGTGCTGTGGCTGTGTGGTGGTGGTGGGGGGGTCCCACGTGCTGTGGCTGTGTGGTGGTGGTGGGGGGGTCCCACGTGCTGTGGCTGTGTGGTGGGGGGGGTCCCCACGTGCTGTGGCTGTGTGGTGGTGGGGGGGGGTCCCACGTGCTGTGGCTGTGTGGTGGTGGGGGGGGGAGTCCACGTGCTGTGGCTGTGTGGTGGTGGTGGGGGGGGGGTCCCACGTGCTGTGGCTGTGTGGTGGTGGTGGGGGGGGGTCCCACGTGCTGTGGCTGTGTGGTGGTGGTGGGGGGGGGTCCCACGTGCTGTGGCTGTGTGGTGGTGGGGGGGGGGTCCCACGTGCTGTGGCTGTGTGGTGGTGGGGGGGGGGGGTCCCACGTGCTGTGGCTGTGTGGTGGTGGGGGGGGTCCCACGTGCTGTGGCTGTGTGGTGGTGGGGGGGGGGTCCCACGTGCTGTGGCTGTGTGGTGGTGGGGGGGGGGTCCCACGTGCTGTGGCTGTGTGGTGGTGGGGGGGGGGTCCCACGTGCTGTGGTGGTGGTGGTGGGGGGGGGGGTCCCACGTGCTGTGGCTGTGTGGTGGTGGGGGGGGGGTCCCACGTGCTGTGGCTGTGTGGTGGTGGGGGGGGGGTCCCACGTGCTGTGGCTGTGTGGTGGTGGGGGGGGGGGGGTCCCACGTGCTGTGGCTGTGTGGTGGTGGGGGGGGGGTCCCACGTGCTGTGGCTGTGTGGTGGTGGTGGTGGGGGGGGGGTCCCACGTGCTGTGGCTGTGTGGTGGTGGGGGGGGGGTCCCACGTGCTGTGGCTGTGTGGTGGTGGGGGGGGGGGTCCCACGTGCTGTGGCTGTGTGGTGGTGGGGGGGGGGGTCCTACGTGCTGTGGCTGTGTGGTGGGTGGGGGGGGGTCCCACGTGCTGTGGCTGTGTGGTGGTGGTGGGGGGGGTCCCACGTGCTGTGGCTGTGTGGTAGTGGGGGGGGGGTCCCACGTGCTGTGGCTGTGTTGTGGGTGGGGGGGGGGTCCCACGTGCTGTGTTGTGTGGTGGTGGGGGGGGGGGGGTCCCACGTGCTGTGGCTGTGTGGTGGTGGTGGGGGGGGTCCCACGTGCTGTGGCTGTGTGGGTGGTGGTGGGGGGGGGGTCCCACGTGCTGTGTGGTGTGGTGGGGGGGGGGGGGTTCCCACGTGCTGTGGCTGTGTGGTGGTGGTGGGGGGGGTCCCACGTGCTGTGGCTGTGTGGGTGGTGGGGGGGGGGGGTCCCACGTGCTGTGGCTGTGTGGTGGTGGGGGGGGGGGGTTCCCACGTGCTGTGGCTGTGTGGTGGTGGGGGGGGGGGTCCCACGTGCTGTGGCTGTGTGGTGGTGGTGGGGGGGGTTCCACGTGCTGTGGCTGTGTTGTTGTGGTGGTGGGGGGGGGGGTTCCACGTGCTGTGGCTGTGTTGTTGTGGTGGTGGGGGGGGGTTCCACGTGCTGTGGCTGTGTTGTTGTGGTGGTGGGGGGGGGGGGTCCCACGTGCTGTGGCTGTGTGGTGGTGGTGGGGGGGTTCCACGTGCTGTGGCTGTGTTGTTGTGGTGGTGGGGGGGGGGTTCCACGTGCTGTGGCTGTGTTGTTGTGGTGGTGGGGGGGGGGGGGGGTCCCACGTGCTGTGGCTGTGTGGTGGTGGTGGGGGGGTTCCACGTGCTGTGGCTGTGTTGTTGTGGTGGTGGGGGGGGGGGTTCCACGTGCTGTGGCTGTGTTGTTGTGGTGGTGGGGGGGGGGGGTTCCACGTGCTGTGGCTGTGTTGTTGTGGTGGTGGGGGGGGGGAGTCCCACGTGCTGTGGCTGTGTGGTGGGGGGGGGGTCCACACGTGCTGTGGTTGTGGTGTCCCAAGTTGTTGTGGCTGTATTGTTGTTGTTGTGGTGGTGGTGGGGGGGTCTCACGTGCTGTGGCTGTGTGGTGGTGGTGGTGTCCCAAGTTGTTGTGGCTGTATTATTGTTGTTGTTGTGGTGGTGGTGGGGGGGGTCCCACGTGCTGTGGCTGTGTGGTGGTGGTGGTGTCCCAAGTTGTTGTGGCTGTGTTGTTGTTGTGGTGGTGTCCCAAGTTGTTGTGGCTGTATTGTTGTTGTTGTTGTGCTGGTGGGGGGGATCCCACGTTCTACGGTTGCCGCGTGGGGAGTTGGCGGCGGGGGGGGGGGCAGGTGGCCGCGGGCGGAAGTGACGACACGCGAGGGACGTCTCGCGCACGTTCTGGACGGTTCACGGACGTGACGTCAGGGCGCCCCCCTCACCCCGCCCCGTCTATATAAAGGCGGGCTGCACGCCCCCCACCCCGCCACTCGGCTAGCAGCAGCGAGCGCCTTGCGAGGCCTTAGGGCGTCCGTCGCTGTCGCCGCGGAGACGTCGCGACAAGCAAGCAAAGTGGCGCTTTTTTAAATATTTAACTTTATTAAATATTAAAAAAACTTATTTCCGTCGAGTTCATGCGATTGTCAATTTTTTTTTATAAACCTGTTATATATATAGATTAGAAACAAATAGCGCGCTTTCACAAATGTAACGTATCGTTGCGGAATACCGTAGCAATTCTAACAGGCGTACGTTGTTGGCGTCGGGAGGGATTCACTATTCGGGGGGGTTTGTTTTGATGCAGTGGGCTGCACAGAAGAACAGAGGGTTTAGAAATCCGCGGCAGCCGCAGTAATAACAGCGGCCGCGTTGGAAATCCGCGGCAGCCGCGTAAAGCAGTTGGATTTGCCGCAGGCAGCAGTAGCGGCTGAGTCTTGCGCTAGAAATCCGCGGCAGCCGCAGTAGGTATCTGCGACAAGGCGGGGAAGGAGTCTTGCGCTAGAAATCCGCGGCAGCCTCAGTAGGTATCTGCGACAGGCGGGGAAGGAGTCTTGCGCTAGAAATCCGCGGCAGCCGCAGTAGGTAGCTGCGACAAGGCGGGGAAGGAGTCTTGCGCTAGAAATCCGCGGCAGCCGCAGTAGGTATCTGCGACAAGGCGGGGAAGGAGTCTTGCGCTAGAAATCCGCGGCAGCCGCAGTAGGTATCTGCGACAGGCGGGGAAGGAGTCTTGCGCTAGAAATCCGCGGCAGCCGCAGTAGGTATCTGCGACAGGCGGGGAAGGAGTCTTGCGCTAGAAATCCGCGGCAGCCGCAGTAGGTATCTGCGACAAGGCGGGGAAGCAGTCTTGCGCTAGAAATCCGCGGCAGCCGCAGTGGGTATCTGCGACAAGGCGGGGAAGCAGTCTTGCGCTAGAAATCCGCGGCAGCCGCAGTGGGTATCTGCGACAAGGCGGGGAAGCAGTCTTGCGCTAGAAATCCGCGGCAGCCGCAGTAGGTATCCCGTGGCCGCGATGTCGAAGGACTACTACAAGACGCTTGGCCTGGCGCGGGATGCGAGCGACGAGGACGTGAAGAAGGCGTACAGGAAGATGGCGCTCAAGTTCCACCCGGACAAGAACAAGGCGCCCGGGGCCGAGGAGCGCTTCAAGGAGGTGGCCGAGGCCTACGAGGTGCTGAGCGACGCCGAGCGCCGCCGCGTCTACGACTCGTACAGTCGAGGAAGGTTGCGGGTGGGGCCTCCCCGGCTTCCAGGGTGGGTGGGCCAGGGGTTAGGTGGTGGGGGGGTAGTTGTGAGGGGGGGGGGGTATACTGTACAGGGGTATGGTGGGGGTAGTACAGGGGGTTAGTGAAGTAGTGGTTAGTACAGGTGTAAGTACACTGGGGTTAGTGTAGGGGGGGTATAACAGGGGGGTAGTGTAGGGGGGGTAGTTACAGGGGTATACAAGGTGGATGGTTGCTATTACAGGGGGGTCGTTGTTCAGTAGGGGGTGGGTAGTACAGGGGTATTTGTAGGGGGGGGGTATACAAGGGGGGGGGTAAGTGTAGGGGGGTCGTACAGGGGGTAGTACAA